TTTTTCAAGTCTTCATCTTTCAAAAATAATATGTGATGGATATCACCTTTTTTGACTATTCCAAAACGTTAATTATGAATACTTCAAATTGATATGTAAGAGTATCTTCATTGAGTTTTCACTGCGCGGCATGAACAATATTCACCAGTTTAATTTTGGTCATTTCTTATGAATGCCTTGAGATGACTGCTTTACATGATACACTGCTCGAGTGTCTATCAGACACTTCTTGTAGCAATGCATGAGTTTTACGTATACACAGAATGTTTCGCTCACATCTTATCACGAGAATATTTATGATAGATTCATTTGTTTATCTTTAAATACATATGAGTGATTCCGGTGCCTATTGTACCCTTTTGCTTTTGCAAAAATAGTCGAAAAAAGTAAACACCTGTACTTAAAAGTATCATCAGCTGATAGAGAATATGTTGAAGTATAAGAAAAAGTAATTTTGCAAACTACTAATTTTTTTGTTTTGTCTGATTTAGAGACCGAGAGGTTTCAAGGAACTTACTAAGGAATCTTTTACCTTATTTATATAGAAAATGATGATATCCAGGAATTAATATAACCTTCTAGGTTTCAAAACATTTCCTTTCGAATGACATATCCGGAAGAAGCACAAAAATAATCAATTTTAGACAGTTTTTTTTTAATTACTTTTTTTCAGAAATGTGTTAGACTTCTGATATTAACGAAAAAAGTTGTGCTCCCCTTCCTCTTTTGATAGAGTAGAGGTCTTAAAACGATATAAATCTATAATTTTTCAACAAAAATATGACATTTTTTTCTTAGACATCACCTATCAAAAATAAGACTCAAGCTATTCCAATGAGCTTCTATAGGTTTGAAATTAAGAGTCTCAAAGAGTCCTTCTTTTATTTTCATTGTCAGCATATATACGAAACAAGATAAACTAAAATAGATATTTCTTTTTCCAGAACATCAAGGAGTTAATAAAAGTTTACAGCATTTATTTCTGCAAACCTATACTGATGTCCTCTTACACAAAAGCTGATTTCTTGATGGATATTGTATTCATAAGTTTTCACCAGTTGAAGTTTTTAACAGAATTCACTGTATATGCCACTATTTTATTGATTAATCTAGAAATTTTAGTCGTTAGGTCAGCGGCCAGTTCTTATGCTTGATAAAAACTCAATCGGCATCAATCTAAGTAACTTCATTGATCTGTCAACAGATTCTAATAATGAAGGTGAACAAATTTTTCTTATAGTTAAGCCTACTCCTCAGATTCACCCAAGAAGTTTATTGAATTTCAATAATTTATCAAAGATTATTATGACTGGAAAACAAGACAACATCATTTTAAAGTATTAATAAGTTAAAAAAGACAGACGAATCATAGTAGCCTTCAAAAGCATCTAAATCATTCATCCGCTTCAAATGTTGACAATATTCATTGTTTCGCATAATAAAAGGACAGTATTCTCTGAATCGATAATATAATGTGCAAGAAATAACTAATATTTCACTTAAGACTTTCATGACTTGATCATGATTTGGAAATCTTTAGGAACTAGGGAGCAGTGAGATAACATAATATTTTATCTGTACAACAGCCGTGTCAAGTAAATTAGCACAGTGGATAATTTGAATTTTTTCAGGTCGATATAAACGAAACTTACGATTTTTTGGATAAGAACAATTTTTTGCGGAGCTTTCTCCATCTGAAAAGGTTCCGCTGCTTCGGGTTCCAAATGCTATCAAATCAAATGAAGGGTGTGGGTTGGTGTGTACTTTCTATTCATTGCCACCCACACCCACACCCTACTGTAAAGTTGTAGATGAAGGAAATATCCACATTAACGCATCCACATTCTAGGTTTACTACTAACACTACAATTTCAGTTCTAACGATGTTATTCAGAGAAGCTACAGCTACTTCTTTTATTTCGAATGAATATGGATCAAGAAAGAAATATTTTCAAGGTAGAGTTTGTGTAGAAAATGACGAAAGTCCTAAAATTGTAATAAATCTCGACAGTTTGAAGTAAATAAAGCTTCACAAGAAAAGAAAAAAAGTTACTATTACAATAAAATGTTAAAATTGGAAGATGTATCTTATGGGTGTGAGTGTGGGTGGGTGTGGGTGTGCTGGGTGTGGGGTGTGGGTGGGTGTGGGTGTCGGCGTGGGTTTGGGGTGTGAGTGTGGGCGTGGGTGGATGTGTGAGTGTGCGTCTGGGTGTGGTGTGGGTGTGGGTGTGTGAGTGTGGATGGTTGTGGGGATGTTCCTTCATGTCCAGAGTTACACCCACACTCCACGCAAATCCATACCCACACCCTCCCACACCCACAACTACACCCTCCCACACCCACACCCATCCACCAACCCACCCACCCACACCCTCCCACATCCACACCTACACCCTCCCACACCCACACACCCACACCCGCCCACACACACACACACCCACACAAATCCACATCCACACCCATATCCCACAGCCACAGCCACGCCCCACCCCACCCACACCCACCCACACCCACCCCACCTACACCCACACCCAACCCACACCCACACCCATACCCTCGCGTTACGCGGACGAGCCCTATTATGATTTCAATTTAAACTATACGTAATATTTCACTATCACAACTACTTGGTCCTCGAAACCCTTTACATTGCATATGTAACTAATTTGTGATCTTCGGATCATTAGGACAGACTCTATATACAGTTAAGTCGAAGCTACCTGATGAGGACCGTGTGAGCAAGGCCGAAACGTGCCGTAGTTTGCTTTGACTTACCCTCGCACCCTCACACTTCTCATCATAACAAAAGAAAGCGGGAGTCCATTTTATTCTAATTTTAGTGGTAAAAAACTAAATACGCTTTTTTAGAGTTTGGATGCTTTCTTCCAAAACTTGAATGTCCGGATGAGTTGGAGAGAGCGTTTTATGACAGATTTCCAGTGCTTTTTCGTAATATGAAAGCGCCTTCGTGTACTCTTTCTTGATATAATGCAAAGAACCTATGTTGTAGTAAGACTGAGCGAAGTCTGGATGATTCCAAGGGAGACTGAGTTTCCGGATTTCAAGTGATCGTTCATAATATAAAAGTGCTTTCGAATATTCGCCTATATTATTATACACTAGAGCCATATTGTGATATGCCATAGCCACTTCAGGATGATCTGAAGGGAGCGCTTTTTTCAGAATTTCAAACGACCCTTCGTAATATGAAAGCGCTTTCGAGTACTCGCCCACGACATAATACAAAGAACCAATGTTGCCGTAAGAATGAGCGAGGTTCGGATGATTCAGTGGAAGAGATATTTTCTTTATTTCAAGTGATTGTTCATACAATGAAAGTGCTTTCGAGTATTCGCTCATTATATTGTATACTAAGCCCATATTGTTGTACGTAGCAGCCAACTCGAGATGATTCGCAGGAAGAGTTATTTTCTTTATTTCAAGTGATTGTTCATAGAATGAAAGCGCTTTCGTGTAGTCGCCCATTTTCTCATACACCATACCAATGCCATCGTAGGAATCAACCAAATCGGGATGATTTGGAGGGAGAGCTATTTTTTTTATTTCAAGTGATCGTTTATGATACGAAAGTGCTTTCGAGTACTTGCTCATGACATTATGTAATAAACCAATGTTATCGTAGAAAGCAGCCAAGTCAGGATGCTTTGGAGGTAGAATTTTTTCGTTAAGAGAAAGTGCTGCTTCATATGATGAAAGTGCCTTCGAATACTCACCTATGTATTTATATGCTGAGGCAATGTTATTGTAGGAATAAGCCATGTCAGGATGATTCGGAGGAAGAGCTATTTTTCGGAGTTCAAGTGACCGTTCATAATATGACAGTGCTTTCGAATATTCGCCCATTTGATTAAGAATTACACCGATGTTGCTGTAAGAGCTAGCCAAAGTAGGATGATTTGGTGGTAACATTTTTTCGTTGATAGCAAGTGCGGTTTCGTGCGATGAAAGTGCTTTTGAATACTCGCCCATGGTATAATATATTACACCGGTATTGACATATAGTATAGCCAGTTGAGGATGGTTTGCTGGAAAAGCTATTTTATATATTTCAAGTGATCGTTCGTACCATGAAAGTGCTTTGGAATACTCTCCCATTCTATAGTAGCCTGAACCCATGTTCATGTGAGAAACAGCCACGTGCGGGTGGTATGAAGAAAACATTTTCTGACTGATCTCCAAATCTTTTTCGTAATATGAAAGTGCTTTCGAGTACTGACCCATGTGCTCATATAAGGTACCAAGTAGGCGATTGTATACCAGTCGAGCTTCATCCGAAGTTGGCATTTCAAGAAGGACCTTACACAATTGTTCTGCTTTTGAAGGATCACCAATTTTAATAAGTATGAGGGCAAGTCGAGACCAACCTTTGGTTCCGTTGAACTCTTCACGTATGTGTGCTGTGAGTGTGTTAAGATCATGATTGTCATTACCTGTGAGAGTGAGATTAACTTGCCAAAGCAATTGGTGTGATCACCATGGATTCGTTCTATACTATCAATCTGAAAAATTGTATGTGCTGAAAAAAGAATTTCTTCTTCTACTTCTCCGAAATGACCAACGTTCCTCACGTCAGCAAACGGAATTGATGATGTTGCGCATACTGCCGAATCGATGGCCATAACAAAAAGTATGCCAACAGAATTAAGATTATGAATTGCTGCTGGTCGTGCAAAAAATTCAAGGGCAAAACCACGATTAAGGCTTGTTGAAAGAAAATTGTTGAAAGACATAAGTCCACCTTTGGTTTTTTTTTCAGTTTTTCGAAGTCTTTAATAGATAACTCTTGACCTCGAAAAACTTGAAATGAAGTAGTTATTTTATTGGTGGATTGTTGCTCACGATGTAGTTTTTCAATATCCCGATGTAAGTGTCGAATGAAGAAACTCATTCTCAGTAAAACGTCAACATCCATTAGTCGTAGACCACGATTGAGCATTGTGAACAAAAAATATGGACCCGTGTACCACCATATAGGGTCATGAAGATGATATTCTTGTTCAAACTTATCAATATTATCTTTCTTGATATCACCTTGCTGACGACAGTAATGAATTAGTTCTTTGACAGATTTATCGTCGTCACCATCATCGATTTCCAAAAATGTTTCTTTCAGCAATTGTGTATACATAAACAACGGATCAATACCACGAAAACTGATCGGGATCAGACCTTGATCACAACGTCCACAATCGATTTGTAATGCTTTACAAATCGGCTCGATTTCTGTGTATACACCTTTTACTTTGGATATTGTTCTTGCCCATTGTTCATGAATCGATCGGTTATCACAGAAAACATAAACTGAGTCTAACTGTGGACCTGCTTGAATTTCAGGTATTATATGCTGTCCTAGTGCAGCAGATACAATCATAAAGACTTTTCATTTTCGATGTCAGTAAGAAAATCAATACATTCATCAGCGTCTGTAAATGTTCTAATGGTTGCAACAATATGTCGTAGATGTTCTATTGACTTTTTATATTCATCTTTGGATTCATTCAAATTAGCATCAAGCCAAATCAATAGGAAATTTTGTGGAACTCGATCAAGACGTTGGGGCAGCGGCACTTCAGTGCTGTGCGCAGTAGTCATTACTGCTCACCTATCAACAATAGTTGTTATTGACGAAATGACGGTGCCGAACAGATGGAGTATGTGCACATCAAACAAATAGCAAAAAAGACGAAGAACAAAATCGACAAAATAGTTGCATTAACATCCTTCATAGAAAGGAAAAAACAAACATTATGTACAGAATTTAAACTTTTTCTTGATTCTTCTTAATGTTATTGTTTTGATTGCTTTTGATTTCGTCAGAAAAAAAACGACCATAATGAATGAAAAAGTACTGTTAGTTGCTTTTACTATTATTGCTAAGAAAAACTCTTATTTACCTTTGCATGTGCAACCAATTGAAAAGATTGATGAGAGTGATCAATCGATGCCTTATTGAAAGAAAAAACTAATCTGTTCTGCAACTTCAAACAAAAACTTCCTTCTAGTTTCTTTCTCGTTCGTCTTGTATTTGCTATTTCGACTCATTCCAATAGTAATTACATATCCAAGCAAACTCTAAATAATCATCGATGAGTGAGACGAATGGTCGAAATAAAATATATATTTTTGCTCGTTCTGTTCGAATATGGAGCCATCGGCAGCAGTGTCCCATGGTCCATTCATTTTCGACTCCTTAAACACCTTTCGCCGACTCTTAGTCTATAGAAGTTTCGACTACTTGAAGACAGGAAGTCTATGGGAAAGATGGTTTCAATCTTTCGAAGCTAATAAAAATATCGAGTGCTTGGTGGGACACACGTATCGAAAAGCCTAATTTCGATTGTTCGTATTCACTTTGATTGCTAAAAAAATCGCCGAAATGAAGCTTTTGAATGTTTCTTTGGAGAATTTTAGTTTTCTACAGATACTTTCACGTAGTGTGATTAGTAAAACGATATTATTTGTTATTTACAACTAGAACAACAATAAAAAAAATGTCTACAGTCTTGCGAAAAAAAAATCTCAATGAATTTACTTTCATAAAGCCTCAAACTTCCTAAGCTTTTGACTAACTTTGATTTTTAATTATTCATTGATAAAGAAAGTTCGTGGGATGATTAAAAACTATCGATTTATTTTTTATTCCTCAAAATTACTGAGACAGTTAAATTTTATAACCGTAGTAGGGCTAGGAAAGTGAAGTTTGATTAATTTTTGTTTCAATATTTTTTTGTCGCTTTTTTTCATAATCTATGCGAAGAATTATGGATGGTATTCTGTAATAGCCCGTGAAAAATTACAATCATTCCTCAGAAATAGGGTGTGGGTGTGGATATGTGTGCGGTGTGAGTGTGGGTGTGGTGTAGGTGTGGGTGTAGGTGGGGTGGGTGGGGTGTGGGTGTGGGTGCCGTTGTGTGGGTGTGGGTGCGGGTGTGGTGTGGGTGTGTGGGTGTGAGTGTGGGTGTGGGTGTGGGTGTGGTTCAGCTGAAGACTTACATGGACACCCACACTCACACACCCACATCCACATCCACATCCACACCCACGCCCACACCCACCCCACACCCACACCCACACCCACACCCACACACCCACACCCACACCCACACCCACAC